CCACAAATACACTCAAGTTCTTGTTCATGAACAAGAAGTCATGCATGAAGCTCTGTGAAGGAGATTGGAGTATGTCGATTGGCGATGCCTTGAGTAAATGGCTGATATTCTAGTGTATGAGGAAGACCACACAGGGTTCTTTTAACTAATTTACTATCTGGAACAGGTTGATTAATGGAAGCAAATTGATATGCTATACCTTTAATTTTGGCAAGATAAGCTTCAATGGACAAATCATTTTTGTAAATGTTAAGAGGAGTGTCATGCAAGATATCAGCACGAGATAGAGTCTACTGATAAAAGAGTGTTTCAAGTGTATCCCAAACATCCTTGGCGACATTTTTACCTAGGACCTCGACGCAAAAGGTTGAAGAAAGAGTATTCTTAATATCCCTTACAATGAGTTAATCTATCTTGAACTAGTGAGCATATTCTGGATTTGGAGAAGCAGTGCCATCAATAAGAATGGTTTTTTAAGGAGGTGGATCAGTGCCGTCAATATGACCATATAGGTCATTGCAAATAAGGAGAGGAGTGATTTGATCACGCCAAAGCAAATAATTATCAGCATTGAGATGAGTAGAAAAGTTGCTTGTCAAAGTAGCAAAAAAAATGAAAAGACTGGAGGAGACGATAGAAGCAGAGGAAGAAAATGTGGGAGTAGTTATTGTATGAAAAGAGAATTAATTTGTGAATACACAGTCTTGCTCTGATACCATGAAAGAGTAAAGAAAATATTGTAAAAGAATGGCTCAACACTTTAAGGTTGGATTCTGTGTATTTATAGTTATTATACAAAGCCATGCAAATCTGCAATTAGTTATATAATAGCATATCACTTGCCTAATTTATAGCCTAGATGTTAGCTAAGAGATACATTCAAATGCCTAAATTATAGCTATGCAATCTATTACAATCTATCAATATCTTGTATCCTATCAAAGAGAGAAACTTCATTTAACAATAAAATAAATTTAAATAAGTAGAATCAATTTAAAAAGAAATGTCTATATAATAGGTTGAGATTTATATCTCTAATCACTAGATCCATTTTGAAGTATTGATCAAAACCTTAATAAACCATAAAATGTACCTAGCAATCCAAAGCTAGAGTGTGAATTACATCTTTATGTTCAGGCACGTCATGCATCTCATTGGTAAAATTAGATTAAGAAAGGGTGTCTCAACTCTTAAAAAGCACAATTGACCTAGCTAACCCAAAATATTAAACTCTATATTGAGCCCGAGGTGTTCGTATAGCCCAAATCAACATTGTTATAGGTGCGCCTGAAGGCATGATATGAAATAGATAAACTCAATAGGCATACCTAAGCTTAAACTACTCCACCTACCTTTCATACAATTGATATAAAACATTAAATGCTCACATGTTTTCATGTTATAGTTAGTTCTAAAAAAATATTTTTAGGGTATATCTATATTTAATAAATAACCCATATGATATTATTTTTTCCATTCAACCATGAATCAGCAACTATATAAGATTGTTATCTCAAATAATTGCTTCTAAAATAGGTTTCAAAATATTTTCCCCACTCTACTTTTATTTCCATGCAAGTTGGGTGGTTCATGGTTTTATAAAAGTTTCTAAACCATTAGATAAGACAAGTTATAATTCTAGAATATTTATTAGTGCATTTTTTTTCTTTGAGTTTTTTTATTTCACATCTCTTCTAAATTTTATTAAATTATACATTACATAACTTATAAGGCTTTATTATTTTTTCGATATGAGATTATTTTTTTAGCATATACATGATTACAAGTCCAGTATTCTAGCTATTTTCAATCTATTTACACATTCCTAAACCATAAAAAATCTAAATCTCAATCTTGTGGGTTTTTTTCTCTAAACCTCATCACTATACACACCAAATTACTATGTATTTGAATGATATTTATAATTCAATATCTTAGTTGAATTTAGATTTTATAATTATAGTTAACCAAATAAAATCAAATTAAACCACACCAAGATATAAATTAATAAACAAATATATTGATTTTTCTATCTTTTGATGGATTGTTCATTCAAAAAATCCTTAAAAAAACATATAACTTTAGAGAATTACAAAAATTATATTCTTCGCTTTTTTATGTAAGGACATTTTGCTGTATTGATCACATTCAAAGATTTCAATGTGAACATTGTTGTTTGTATTGATAATTAATTTTAAAATAAAATGTGAAAAATAGGCATTTAAACAAATGTAAAAGCACATTCTTGTTAATTTGAAAACGAACTTGGTGAACCATATGTACATGAGTTTGTATGTTTTTTAGGTCTATGTTCAAGTTTTGCAATGCTAAATTTCTGCTTGAGTTCGATTCGTTCATAATTCAAATAATCATATTTGAAGAGACCTTGCAAGAGTTTGAGTAAGAATTAAAATTAATAGAGGTTGAATAATCAAATTACAATGTGATCAACAAAAAATCGATTCCTGAGGATCAAGTTTGTATAATCGATCGAAAGTAAAGTTACCATTATACCAGGTCACGAATGCCATTAGAAGTGAATTAATGGCTTCAAGATGAACATATATAGCCAGCTTCAAGTTCGTATAATTTCTTGTCTCTTT